TTTATTTAAATATTTTAGCATTTTAAAAAAGTAAATCAGAGCTAAAAAAGTGCAAAAACGCAGGCAAATTTGTCTGCGTTGGTCTACATATTAAGGGATAGCCTTTCGCAACCAAATATTGAATCAATTTCATGTCAATTCAAAGATAATAGATGACATAAAGTATCTGAACTAAGAGAAAAACCTCCAAGAACCTGGAACACACAAAATACTCTTTTTTTTTATTAGTAAACTTAAATTCATGAACATTTACCAAATAAATTTCGAATAACCATTTTTCTTGATGCAATAAAAATCTATAATATAATATGTAAAGTTAGATAATAATTGTTTACCAAACAATTTTGAATAAACACTTTTTTTGACTCAATAAAAAAATTTAATATAAATGATATAAAAATATGCGATTTATAGCGGTGTGACCTCTGCAGTTCATAATGTTATATAAAATCACGAAAAATCAGTCAATTCTAGATTTTTCAATTCTTAGAGAATTTTAAAGATTTTGAATAACATATAAACGTTATTGATTGAGAATTATGATCAATAGGGAATTAAAGTCTCAGAAATTTTTCCACTATCATCATTACGAAATCACAGAGTCACACTTTTTTGCAAACTGCCATAATAAAATCCTGGCAATTAATAATTCTGAAGGTAAAATTTTATACATATAGATAAAATATTTAATTTGAGTTGTTTATCTGTTTGATGGTGAGTAAAATAGTGGAGTCTATAATTAGTTAGTTAATGTGGTTAAATTAATTTTTTTGACCTTATTGATGCTGCTAGGGGAAAAGGGCACCTTAGTTTTTTTTAAATATATTACTAATTATTTATCAAATTCTGCAATTTAGCCCTTCTAATTGATGACATATTGGGCTTTAAATTAATTGCTTGCGATACAATACAGCTACATAACACACATTTTTGAACTATATAATTGAATTAGAATAGTTGCATGACGTAGTCACGCTAAAACCAGGAATGTAATACAATTAGATATAGTATGATTGTTTATATCTGGAAGTTTAATATATATTTAAAGGTGTGCCACTAGCACCTCTACAGACTAAATTTAAATTTATATTCTATATATAATAAGAATCACTTCGATAAATCGTAATACTAATGCATAATCTCAAATAAATAGATAATATTTTGAATGCTTCAATTAATAAATATACATTAGCTCTCAAATTACTATAATGATAACTACAGACTAAAAAAATCATGTCTAACAGTTAAATAACTTAATTAATAAAAATAAATTTCAAATCTTATATAATTAAGATTTACTATAATCACATATTGAAATGTAAGTAATTTCAAATTTTTGACAATTTAATGATTCGACTATAATTATATTCATAATTCTGTAAACATATTAAGCATTTTTTTTTAGCCCGACCAATTAAGTAGATGAACTCTAGCCTAGTATACATATTATATAATTATAATAGTATTACATTTTCATTATTCAGTTTATTGATAAAAATAACAAACTATTTATGAAAATTATGAACACCTGCATTTGATCTATAGCAAACCAAATTTTTATCCTATTTTGAACTAACTTTTCTTATAGCAGTTTTACCACAAAATCATGAAAGACAGATTCCCAAAAGACTTAATACTGACAAAGTTAGCTAGAATTAGTTATAGTGCTAGCCAGTTTAGTCGACATTATGCTCTTTTAGGAAAATGGGTTTTGGATTTTGTGGTAGAACTTCGAGGTCCAAATTTTTGTTGTTTATAAAGTTAGTTTCAAAAATGTATAAACGATTATTATATACCTAAAATATTCGAATAGAAATGACTTATATTTTTAACTAAATAAGTAATTATTATACACGGATCAATGCAATTTGATGAGAGATAAATAACCTATCCCAGGTACTTACTTTAATAAGTAAGTGTTATAATAAAGACTAATTTAATAAATAAGCTAAATGAGAAGTAGTAACATCCAAGATGACTACCAAAAATGCTATGACATAATCATAGTACAGCTAGACCAAAATTACACAAAATTAATCACAGCCACCCTATTTAAGTAAAACATTTCCAGATCAATTTTATCATAAAGAAGGCTAAATTTTTTTCTTTTGTATTTAAAAAAGTTCTGAAAAATAATTTTGGCCAAATTATAATTTTGATCATTGACCTAGAGTTAATACAGGCCGTCTAATTACGTCGCAGTACTTTTGGTAATCATCTTGATGAATCTAAAAAGTGAGTAGCTTATATTAAATAATAATTAATACTCAACTATACCAAATAAGAAATAAATAAATAAGAATAACTTATTATAAGTAGTTATATTCTTCTATAATCTCGTAGTTGAGTTTGTATACATTTGAATTATTATGATTCAAATTATAAGTTATTATTGAAATTCTGTTGCTATTCTAAAGTATGTGAAAATTGAGTTAGTCTTTATCAGAATTATTACAAATTCTATCATGAGTTGCTGTAAATAATTCTATTACAAAACTTATCATTGGCCAATGCATACAGTACCTGGAGTCTTATTCGAGAACTTCATTTTTAAAATTGAATAGTACCCATGGGTATTGTGAGAGGAACCGGGTACTATATTTGGGAATACATTATATGAAAGCAATAGTTATACCCCAGATATTATTCAAGAATTAAGCCAGATGGGTAGTGAATAATACCTGGATCTTAATTACAGGGGTATTATTTTTGGGGGATACTGTATATAGTGGAGTGGCCAACAGTATTTTTATTAAAAGCAATCATCAATTATCAAACAATAAATAAAACTAAAAAATACAAGTAAAAATACAACCTGACCAGTGAATTATATATCTATAAAATGTAATAAACAATATATATACGTAAGTACTAGAATAAAAAATAAGTAATTATTGCTACATTATTACCTCATTTATCTCTAGTTTTAAGGTTAAAATAAAAATTAAATTTTGTCAAATCATTGGATTGAGATTTTATATTCAATTAATTTGACTTTTAACTTCATATAGCATGATGCAAACCTATAGTGATTCAATTTGTCAAATCATCAGATTAAGATTTTATAATTAATTAATTTGACTTTTTGACTTCATATAGCATGACGCAAACCTGTAGTGATCCAATAAATTAATTTTTTTCATTTAAATAGCAAAAATTTGGTGCAAAAATTTTTATACCTCAAAGGCAATTAGCAAAAATACTTCTACAATTTAACTAATGAATGAAATCTGCGAAATTGTGACTTCCCAAAAGGAAAAAGACAAATTAAATATTCATGGTTATTTGTTAGTTAAGGAGCAAAATTGAAAAAACACCTACTATTGGTGACTAGTTTTAATATGTTTTACATCATTCATGTTTAGTTAACATGGTTTTCTTAAGTTGTAAAGAGCAGAAATCAGGAAATTGTAAAGGCAGAGCTGTAACAGTTTTGACAATAGACAACATTATTTTAAGAAATTTAAAAAACACAATCATTTATTTAGAACCAGTCATAAAGATGTTGTAAAGCTTATTTCTAATATTAAACAACAAGCTAAAAATACAAGAGATAAGCCCAGTCAAATAATACAAAATAATTTTGCTAATATCTCTGAAGGAATTATTCCTTATATACTATCATATGAAGCTTTTTGCTCAACTATCAAACGCACAAGACGAACAGAATCAACATTAGAACCAAAAAGTCTTGATGAAATTGATATTCCTACCTCTCTTTGTTTTACATTAACTGGAGATCTATTTTTTTTAAAAAATGCAATTGTAGATCAAGAAGGATATCTTTTATTTTCTATGATAAAAAATATTCAATACTTATCACAAGCAATGTTCTGGCTTATGGATGGCACTTTCAAGACAGTGCCTAAACTTTTCTATCAGTTGTATACGATCCACGCACCAGTAGGTGCAACAAGTAATTGTAGAATTCTTTTCTTGGTCTATGTGCTTATGACAAATAAAAGTGAAGAGCTCTATTAACAATTATTTCAAGATCTAAATGAAATTGCTGAAGAAAATAATATAGTACTAAATCTATCAATTATTATTACAGATTTTGAATGTGCTTCAATTAATGCATCTCATAATGAATTTCCAAATATTACAAATAAATGTTGCTTTTTTCATTTGGGGCAAAGTGGTTGGCATAAAATTCAAAAAGTTGGATTGGCTAATCAATATGGTGATGATGATAATTTTAGTATAAGATTTTGCCAACTATTCACATTAGCATTTTTATCTGCCAATGAAATTCCTTCTGCATTTATTATTTAAAAGCAACATATGCCTTCAATTGCAAGTGAAGTTGTAGAATGGTTTGAATTTACATATGTTCTTGGAAAACCATGACGAGAATTACAAGATGGTACTATTACTCTTAACCAACCTCTTTACCCCCTCACCTGTGGTCTGTTTATGACTCTCTCCATTTAGATGTTCCAAGAACTCAAAACAAAATTGAGGCCTAGCATCATCGTTTTGAAACTTTAGTTAGTCAATTACATATAGGAGTTTATACAATTATTCAAGAGTTTCAGAAGGAACAACAATTTGTTGAACTTGAAGTTAAAAAGATCATACTTGTTGATCCACCACCAAAACGAAGACAACAAATAATTAATCAAGAACAAAGAATTATGGAGATTGTTAATAATCATACAAATCTTATAGTAATGAATTATTTACGTAGAATTGCTTACAATTTTTTTTTATAATAATAGTATCAATGTATATACAGTTGGATGAGAAAAGGTTTTTTTTTGGATGCTAAAATTTAAAGTACTAATATCGTTCTTGCACAAAAATTTTTTATAAATATATATATATATAGTTAGAACTCAGTATAATAAGTAATAGTCTGCAAAACATTGAACAATAATAAATATTAAGGAATACTTTGCTTATAAATACTTGGTAGTGTTGAAGAGTTATATAACTTTTAATGTAGAGATTAACTTTAATGATTTTCTACTTCCTTAGTATTAGTAGTTTAGGTATTTGCTATGTATAAAATCAAATATGTTTACTAAAAATAGAACTTCTCTTTTATGATCTTGATCATGTTACATGATTCTAATCACATATTTTAATCATGTGAGGTTGTATAAATATCAAAAGTTGGATATTAGTAGAGTCGAATTAGAGTTGACTTTAAGCAACTTGACTCTAACTGATTCAAAAACTAATTAAACTGGGCTGTTTAATATTCCTAAACAGGAGAAACTGTCAATATTACATGTTAATACATGATGTACACTAAAATGAATAATCTCTCGCCCCGTTGTTTACTTGGGTAATCAGTTAAACTAAAATTATTTATATATAACTTCAAGTGTGATGGATATAATCTCTCACTTGGTGTAATATTGGCATTGGTTATAGCACCATAAACCTAGCATAACCACCATGATCAGTTACGTATAAGATTGGAATTAATTACCAAAATTTTAATAATACATGTATTAGTCATAATTAATAATAAGTTAATAATGACAATATCTGTTTATATATTGTAATAATAACAAGTTTCATTTAAAAATTTTCTTACCAAATGTTTATTAATAGAATCTGACTATTCAACCCAATCGAATTTAAAAAAATGTTCACTTGCCAAATAATAAAAATAAATTAATGAATTTGAAACCAATAAAGAAACTTGTATCGAATGATTAACAAAGGCGAAACCAGAAATGTTAAAAGCAGAATATAAATAATGTTTATGAATTGCAAGAAAGTGCTATAGAATCTGAAGATATCAAAGATATAGATTATAAATAACATGGATAATATGGAAGAAGAGAGTGCACGAATGGATCTTAATGCAATTATAAATCTTTAAATTGAATTGATAAAATTAGAAAATATTGATGAATCACATGCAAACTTAATAGCGATAGCGATTAAGATTGTAAGGAATTATAGAAAGGTGACAGATATTTTCATGTTTATCATAAGAAGCATTATATTGTCTACTTATTGGTGCAATTGCCATCAAGAGTTTGAAAAAAATACAAAAAAGTTTGGATAATTCTAAACACGTAAAACAAAAGCATCTTCAGAAACGTTTGATAGGTATATCTTTATATTATTGTATTTTTTATATTTTTAGAAACGTATTAACTTTTAATTTAGATTTGATGAAATTCATATTATCCTATTAATTGAAAAAGCTGAAAAAGCTATTGTGAGAAGATTCATATATTACCCGATGATGCACAACTTCTATATTGATTACTTCAACTGTTCTTGACAATAACAATAATAGTATTGTAGAAGATGATAATCAGATAAAGAAGAAAGTGATTTAAAAATTATAGTTCAATATAAAAAATTGGGGAAATTACAAATAAGGGCCCGAAAAATTAAAATAATTACGGATAGGGGCCCGAATTAAAAATAATTATGTATTGGGGCCCAATTTTTAAAAATTATTACAAATAAGGGCCCAAAGTGCGAATTAATTTGACTACGCCAATAAATGTTTATTTATTATATTGCGCAAGAGCATATTCTATTAGAAATACATAAATATGTTCTATTAATATCATAAAAGAAAGAATTCTTTACAATTACTATATTAAACTTTCTTGATTGCTTTTTTTTGTCATCGATCACAAGTACGTGAATTGTGGCCTTTTTTACCACATTTTCCACAAGTAATTTGATCCTCGATTGCAGTTTCTCCACGACTACGCAAACGAGTTTTTCGTGGTCGACCTGCTTGCCTGATTGTTGCTGGTGGTAATGTTTGGTTATCGGGAAGACACATTTTTACATCCACAGGTTGAACAGATTCTTTATAAACTTTTTGAAGAGTAGCAGTGTGGTATGTAAAATGTGCAAATTGTGATGGCTGCTGGTGAGTTTTGAGAATAGCAGCGCAAGCATGAACACAAGGAAATTGGTACTGTTGAAATTGTTGGCAAGTGCAGGTTAATAAGGTAAGATCGACAACACGAAAGTTACCATCATTACTTTTCACTTCAAAAACTGATTTGTTAGCTTGATGCACCATTCGGTTACGACACTTATCAATGACTGATTGAAGTTGTTGAGTAGTAGTTGGTGGTAAAACTGTATTTACTGAAGAATATGTTGTGCAACGATTATAATAGAGTGTGTTGACATTACGTATAAGTAAAAAGATCGCATCAAATGGTTCCGTAAGATGTTCATCATGTAACCAGGAATTAAAGGATTCAGATACGTTTGATGTAAGATGTCCAAATCTATTTCGAGAGCATTTGCAAAGAGTCCATGTCTCAGGAGGTATCTCATTAAGATAAACTGCAGCTTCAACATGCAGGTTTGAAATTTCTTCCATGATTTCGTTAAAACTTTCTACATGCAATGATTTCGCCGCAGCCCAAATTTTACCTCCAAGTTTCGTTCGAAATTTCGTATTAATGTTTTTTTCAATATGCCATACACAATGTGCGTGAAAAGCATTAGGAAGTTTTATTTTTATAGCATCCGCAATACCCTACAATAAAATTAGATTATTATACACTATAATATAATAATATAAAGCAAAGGTTTAAATAATACAATAATACCTTTTCGCGGTCACTTATAATTACTGATTCATTTGAATTCATTATCGGAAGAGCAGTATATAGGTTCTCACAAAACCACATCCAATTATCTGAATTTTCAACAGAGCCAACAGCAAATGCTATAGGAACAAGTTTTCCTTCACCTTCAATTGCACTTGCACAAAAATAGACACCCTTATAGCTTGATTTCGAATGGCATGCATCAAGAGTATACACGGTTCTACAATATTCGGCAGCCTTAATCCATGGTTGTAGACAAAGGAATGCACGAGAAAATCGATCTTCAGTATTGGTCTCAAATGAAACAACACTTCCGGATTCGCTGTAAGTAAATGATCAAGTAATGGTTTTATACATTGATAACTTATATTAATTTCTTCTGCCTTGCGTTTTTTATTAGCAACCAGGCTTCTCCACGCTGCCATATAGGATGTTTCAGCCCCCACCTCTGAACGAACACGGTTTACGATATCACGAGGTTTAAGCGCAGCAATATCTTCAATTAATGGCGCAGAAAACCTTTTAAGGTATGATCCACGTGCTTTAAATGTTTGTATAAATGTTGGGCAATTTTGATCATGTTGAATTAATTTCACAATGTGAATGTAATCATCTTTACGTTTATTAGCAGATATGGTAAATGGGCATGAACTGGTATTAAGTGTAAGACAGACGGCAAGGAGCTTGTTTGGTTTATTAGTTATGAATTTATATGGTAAAGAAGATTCAACAAAGTAGCTATCCAGAGCCGATCGAACATCTTCCATTTTTGTAAATATCATACCAACGTGCAGAATCATATTTGACATAGCGTTAGTGAATTGTTGTAGCAATAAATGAAAGAAAGTGGCTTTTAATTAGGTTACAAGTGAAAAAAATAGATTTATTGGATTAACGAAATTTGTATTTATAATGAAATCATTAAATTACTTCATTTTTCATGCACGCAAATTTCGGGGCCCTTATTTGTAATAATTTTTAAAAATTGGGCCCCAATACATAATTATTTTTAATTCGGGCCCCTATCCGTAATTATTTTAATTTTTCGGGCCCTTATTTGTAATTTCCCCTAAATTAAATTATTTTTCAATTTTTAGGATCGTTTGGAATTAATACATTCTGAACATAGTAAAACTGATGAAGTTTCAGTTACTGCGCTTGGATTCCCACCTCATGAAGCGAAGCTTTTTGGATCGGAACGGAAGAGGGTAATATAAGGTAAATGTGGGTATTTGACGAATTTAACATATTGCAATAAACATGTTTTTTTATACTAAATAAACCTAAGCTTATTAAGTAAAGTTGTTCGGAATGCTATCTTTTACTTACTCTCAAATTTTGATGCAATTCGAATAGCCTTTCATTAATTGGTTTTTCATTATACGTTTCGACGCAGTAAATTGATTACTGCACAAAAACGAATAACGAACAAATCTATTAATAAATTTTGAGGGTAAGCAAAGGATGGCATTCCGAACAACTTTATGCAATCTTCTAAAAATAGCTCACAGATTAACAAGCGGAAACAAGAAATTGATGATTGTATCAAAGAATTTCAGCTTAAAAATAACAAAATACGATGAAGTATTGATGGATTCCTTTGAATAGTTATTTAATATTTAGATGGCATGCAAAAAATTGCAGGTAAAGGTTGAAATTTCATACAAACACATTGACATTGCGTGAAGTTATTAAAATTTACCCAGTTCTCAAAATTATTTAGAATTTTTTTTTATTTAATATGGTAAGAGAATCAACAACATGGTATTTATAATGATATTAGGCTTATGTTTATTTGATTTTCCCAATAATTCTCAACCTCTACCTCTGGCTCCGTAATTTCAATTACTTCTGTAATATTAGGTGCCTTCAGCGTTTGGTCTTGTTTGAAAAGTGCCGCCAGGCCCTTTTCAAATACAGTCGAACCTCTATAATTGCACCCCCTCGGGACCATAGGACAAATTTTTAAAAATGTTCATTTAGAGAGGGTGTGCATTTATAGAGGGTATTTTTACTATGTTTTTATATATTTGGGACCAGGCCAAGGCGTCCATTTAGAGAGAATTTATATATGGGTGCAATTATAGAGGGTGCAATTATGGAAGTTCGACTGTACTGTTTCTTCAAGAATATCAGAATGTTGTTCAGATCGAACATTA